AAGAGCGGATAATCACCAGTGTACTGTAGAGGATGATAATGCAGTCGGCACCACCAATGCGCTTCGAAAGGAAGATAGTCGGGTTTTCTTAATACACGCACGTGCAGAGGAGAAACATATGTTCCAGACTCCGTCAACGAACGGAGATCAGGACCCGTTGCATACACCAAGGGATCGAAGATCACATGGGCCGTGCAGTCTTGCGACTTTTGGGATGACAGCTGGATCAAAGCGGTTACTGGCTGAATTCCTCAAGGCGTCAAACAAACACCAGGACGGCCACCAGCGATGATCAGACTTCTGAACGTGGCTATGCCTCGTGTCCCTGGACGATCCACCGGAGCGCATTAGCTCGGACAGGGCGAGTGAAGACGTTAATGGGTTATTTCGATGTTCAGCGGTAGAACAGGTGTCAGATGACAAGTGATTGGATAGTGAAGTCCATAGTAGGATGAACACCATTCTAGCATACAGAGGGAAATCTTACATAGGATTAATTCTCAAGAGGGGCTAACAAGCAACGAATTCGATTTAAATTAAGATTCCCTTCGGTAGGTGCCACGTACCCAAATACACTTGTCTTATTCAAATGCGTATTCTTCTATGAAACACCCAGCGTAACGATTCTGTTACATACAGACAGGTAGATCTTGTAAATAGATGTGGGGATTTTCGAAATATCGAATGCATTTTTCCAGACAACATAGTTAAGTTGTTTCTCGCAACTTCCCCTTCGAAATATATAAAGGAAATGAATTCCAATCTATTTGGAAAAGCAGCAGATTCTGGGATAGCCCCTTGAGGAATCAAAGTTTGTCATAGTATCAAACCAAACCCTTACGAGATCGTCAACAAAGCCTGGGTATGCTCTATTGCTTCAGTTGGACTTTGTTTTCCCATTCCCGTTCAGAATCGAAACGACGATACTTTGTTTCTCCAAAAGGCTATTTGGAAATCTTAGTGTCTTACCGAACAGAGCCGGAGATTTTATGTTTTAAGGTACCATGAATATGTTCACAAATACACATAAAAACCATATGAGCAAAATTGGGGTGAGAATAGAGGCAGGTGGTGAAGCAGATGAAAAGGTGGAAACGCTAACTGTTTACTGTCGGCTTGTACTGAGCACTCTTCATTCACCGGCTCTTCATGCTCAACAAGCTTCTCTCCAACTTCAAAATTAGGAAAGTACATATGCATGAGCAGTTTTGCTGAATCGACGACCAGGTTTCGACTGCACCAGGATAGGAAAGGATTTTAGTCGATCCCCAAAGTTGAGCAAAGAGCTCAAAACATATCCTTCTGGCATTTAGTCTGCCATATATCTCCCATTTATCACTGTATTTGTCAGAGTTAATGAGGTAGATTTACTAGCATAATCAGCAGAACACCAATAACTCACATGGAAATTCATGACGCTCCCATGAATAGGCAAAGGGCTCGTGGTTGTCGGATGTACTGAACGAATCGGTCGCGAAAGTACTGGCGACAGCAGCACTGGAGGCACACAAATTGATTCACCCGGTGAGTTACTCTGAAAATACAACCTATAAAAGACTCTTCTTACCATCTGCATAGACTCCACCTAGACTCCACTAAAAACGGAGACAAATATGACAAAATAGGACTCTGCCATTAAAAGCTGCCATCGCTACTCCTTACGAAAAATTCCGTACAACTAAGAATTCACATTTAGCCCGGCCTTCACCGTGTCTGACTGGGAAATCGGCCCTCAGCAATGCTCCAGTTCTGAGCAAATCTAATTCAACAGCTGAGAATTCTCCAACAGATACAAATTCATTTCATCCCGATTTACTCCTGAACATTATTTACCGCGTTGGCTTTCCCTTTTCCATTCAATCTAACTAATCAGCTTATCCGCTCACTTGCGTCATCCCCGGTCGCCACAGCAATCTGCCCCATGCATTCGAACGGATGAAGATTCATTGATATGACAGCTCATCGGATGAAGCTACACACAATCTGCCCTACGAAATGGCTTCCCTCATGGTAGTCTAAATAGTCATCGGCAGTGAATGAGAGAAGCCGTTGAGTAGGGCAGATTGTGTGTAGCCTCAATGCCCTTTCCCTCTATTCCTTGGAACTATCACAGAAGAAGAAGTGAGAAAGAGTATTTCTTTCTGATGCAATCTGGTTACGACATTAACAAAATAGGAAGATGCAGATAAAATAGCTTGCAAGATGGCTGTAAGACCAAAAAAATTCAAGCCGAAGTATTTTTAGACGGGGAGGGAGACAAAACACTTCCAAACTAAAACATTTCAGATCGGTTAAATACTATGCAGCACTATCACACCCAAATAGCAGGACTATAAAATTTTCAAGTGACGAAGACACAACGCGGCCGAAACAAATTCCCATAGTAGGTTCTATGAGGCCAGGAACAGAATTCATCGCATTTGGCCCACTGCCTCATTCTACTCTGTGCCCCTCAGAATCGATCAGATCAGGAGGACCAGAATATTCACTAACGCCTTAGAATATTCTGTTATCTGTTGAAGCTGAGCTGGATCTTGCCATCTATGTATATCAAAGATATGGTCAGCAGTTTCCAAAACCGTTGTGTCCCATCTGCAGAAACCCATCAAAAAGTGACCGAATATACTTTGTATTCCATGCCGCGTTGTGCAGGTACGAGGGGTTTCATCTCAGATTCCTGAAATCTTTTGGCTGTTAGCTATGTATTCGACATTTTGATAAACACGAAGGGATTTGAATAAGCTCAGATTTTTATACCCTATGGATAATCTCTTTGAAACACCAAAAATGAGATCAAATCCGTTAGGAATTAATCTCCCACTGTACCAATTCACCTCCTACGCACGAGACTAATCTAGAGAATGTAAGCAACACAGGAAATAAATTATAATGTCACAGGAAATACTTGATGTCAGAGCATATTTTTAGTACTGTCAGGAGGTTTCAAAAATAAGCCAACGTTGTTGGGATGCTCCTGGTACAGTTTCCTAGTCTAACTTAACTTCAGAATCAATCCTGTGGCTTGTTACGATACATTTCACTAATAATCTTTTTAAATGAAGACCGCAAATTACGGCTAAATCCTGGAGCACCCTTTCAAAAGAGCATTGAGCACATCAAAGCATAGCAACACCAAGAGAAAGTGTAAAAGAAGCAATGTATAAATTCAATCGATGGCTCGATGATTCAGAAGCACTCTATATACAGCACTACAGCTAAAAAAGACCATCATTGGTTAGAATTACGCCGGCTTCCGTTCAAGAAATAACTGTTTGCTATTAGCAGTAGCAGATTGGGCAATTTTGAGTCCACTTTTAGTTCTTTTTTAAAAACTTCTCTATGCACAGGTTCTTCCAAAAATCGAACGTTTGGAGGGACGTAATATTATCACAAAATATTTTAGTGAACTGCACTGCACACCTCTGAACCATGCACACAGTCGTATATCCATCCCTAATCTGATTATTGTTTATCGAACTATTAGTACCTCATTGTTTTCTACATATTCAAAAATCATCGATGAAAGAAAGATCCATTGCCATGTCCCTGGCCATTGGTATCAACTCCCCTCCCCTAGGCAGAAGCATTTTTTGACTCTCAGAAGTATTGTACTCGTCCACACAGCTTGCTACACGCCTTCTAGCACTATTACGTTAGGAATCTATTTCCCCTCGAACGGAACCTTTACTATTCTTTCAGTCATGCCTTACACATTCGATAATGCGAGATCTAGTTGCAGGCCAAAGTAGCAATATTGCAAGAAGATTATCGCCTGTGAGACTGTGCTGATTTTGAACACATCTTACCGGATATTTCACTCCGAGTTGCTACTCTGATGAGCGCAATCGCAATGGAGTTCTTCTACAGAAATGAAATCAGCGAGATCACCTTACAGCCAGGTATGCAAGTTAAAGGGCAAAAAAAATTCTTCAGTCACTCTTGATACAGTATTGTTGAAGGAGGAAGTCCAGATCAATACCACTGTTCAGAAAGCAATGAGGCATAGTTGATTAGTTGTTGGACTACTGGGAAAAACTGATACTCTTGATCAGCCTCGAATACTTAACTCATTAAAAAATGGGAGAGGAAAACTATGTTGCTTCGTACACACAGAAAATCTGCACAAACTAAAAAGATAACATTTAAAATGGAAGTATATTTGGAAGGATTAAAGGCAAGGTACATTGAATCGGGTCCAGAATTAGCTGTTGCACCGAGTCAACTTGAACATCAGCTCTGTCATCTTTCGGAAAAAACAAATTAACTGGTTGACATGGCTAACCGCCACTATTACCTTTGTTTACAGTTTATCCCATAATTAAGTTAGTAGATCCCTCCAGAAACATCAAAGCGAATGGCACAGTACTAGTATAGGCAGAAAGCCCTGAAGGCGAGCCCAACGTTTCTATCCGTCAAGTGACACTCGGACAGGGAAAGAAATTGTCTGTCGACTGATAGAACTGAGTTCCCACCCTACCCACCTCAGTTCTCACCCCTGCACGGCTTTAGCCATAAACTGGTTAAAGCCCATGATTTGCAGACATTTGCACGTACTGAATCTCCCAGTCCAGTCATCATTGTTCTTAACCTTGAAAGTTTGCTATTTCAAAGGAGATGATTCAAAAGTTGGTACCGCCTCAACATTATAGCAGGTGCATGAAAATTGCTCCCCAACCATTAGGCCGGAATCAAATAACAAATTTTCACTCCGTCGATCGTTCTGTTTTAATTACATGTGAATCACCTTCAGTGGAATTTTCCTATGTCCAAAAAAATCGATGCAACCCTGGAAACGATGACTGTCTCAAGGGCTTCCCCTCGACATGACAAGTACTGGGCTTCAGCTGTCTAATATCTTTCATTGCATGGCGCCAAGAGAAATACGATTCGTCCTTTTAGCACCCCAATAAAGCTTAGCACTCAGAGATTGGAACACCAATTCGTAAATGGAGAAGCTTCATCGGAGTCCTTTTCACTTTCCGCATTTTCCTCTTCATCCCTTTCAGAATAACACCGAACGCTCTAAGAGCCTCCCAAACACTTAGCTGGACGACTGTTCTAGCCCAAATAATGAAGGATTCGGAGAAAAACATTCTGGAGAGCCTTGAAATTCCTCTGTACTTTCCATACTCAACATTGCATGAGCATCGATAAGGACATCTAGACCATAAGCCAGCACTCTCATCTATCGCCGCGGGGCTCTCATAAAATCCACTTAAACGAATTCATAGAATGTAATCATGTCAAATAAAGACCAAAACACAACCAACAGAGTACTGAGATCAGCGATCAGAAATTCTGATTAACAACTCTGACAAGCTACACAATCTCACAGAGAGGTGGCGAAGACTTTCCCTTGATATGAGATCACTGAAACTACGCCGTGTGGGGCACTCAAGCAACTTACAATACCCCATGACGGAAATCTAAAACGCAAGTAAGCGCTGATACCTCCACGCATACCTCTTCACGCCACTCAGAGAACAGTCTTTCTACAAAACTTGGGTTTACTCAGAAACGCTATGCTTTGACGCTATTGGGGGAGGACTATAAAGTAAGTTGAAGGGAATTCAAGTAATACAGTAGGCAGCAGCAAAAATTAAAGAAAAATGCGAAAGAGGGCGTAAATGAAGCGAAGAACGTAATGAGCCCGATACCTCCTGAAGCACCTTTCCTGCACATCTGCTCGTTTTGTTTTCTACAAAATTGAAATCGGGCGACGGCTTTCTGAGAAAATGTGGTGGCTTTTACATGGAACCGACAAGAGACCTTAAATAATCCGATGGGAACACTCACACCTATGTGAGTCTCATCTAGGGCTTAACGATTTACGTCATCCCCTTTGGATCAAACCAATCGTGATGCATGATGCTTTGTTCACGAAATTGCCAAAGTGATTACATACCCGAAGCAAGTTCCTTTCCTTCCGTTCGCATCGAATTTTCTTTAAATCTGAGTAAAATACATATCGAAACGGAATCGATATGCACCCTACAGGAAATCGATTAACTGCTGAGGAAATAACATATTCATAGGAGAAGCTAATTCATCCCTCATCCGCGCCGGAGGCCGTTTTGGCAAGGCAAGTCTAATGTGTGGGAAAAGCCTACGAGCGAGGAGACAAGAAGAAAGCTCCTCGAAAGCGTCAGCACGTAACGTGCTAGGATTTAGGAGTTCCATATCCTGGATTCTCAATCGAAACTCGTACAAGGTTTACTTTCATAGAAAGACCGATTCTGCATATTCCAAGTAAATAATCATTCATAAAAATATAAACTATTCCGACGTTACTACAGCGTCTTAAAAATGTAATGGAACTTTTCGGTGATGTAAGTGGAATTCCTCTGAAAATCTCGTATGAGGCCAAAAGTTGATTCGAAAAAAATCGTTGTTCGGAAATCCGCATCTCTGAGAACGCTGTTTCACTGCCCTCGAAACTGAGTCGAACGGAACTGCGGTCCTTCCGCAAAATCGTTTCTTGGGAAACAGTAGGATTCATATCCAAGAACAGGAATATGTACTGGTTTGTTCGCCCAAGACAACAATGCCCAAATCCAAAATTTATCCATACAGTCAAGGATTCAGAATAAAAATAGAAAGCACATCACACCTTATGACGGTGCCCTCTGGGGAAGCAATATTTCCTGTACTATCAAAACCATTACGGTTGAACTTCACCCTGGACACCTAAATCTTAAATCCACCTTGTATACCTTTGGTCAAGCAGAATACGGGAACTACAGTAGTGATGTTTGGACTCCTTATGCCAATCACATTATAATATGGCTTCCGTTGATGCCAGAGATATCGAATTATTCTGAGAAATCCATAGAAGCTTATGTCCCTGGAATGCCACACGCGCAAATAAGCGGACAATTCGATGCATTCGCACTTTCGGATGAGCGTCATGAACATAATCTTTTGCATTCCGTTGATGGGTAGCAGCTGAATGCACATCTACATATGAACATGAAAAGATCTGAATATGAAATTCCTTGAATCATCCAATGAATCCCAGAACACTCAGAATTCCGCTCAGCTTTCCCTGCAAAGACTTGCAACTTTTTGGATTGTGCTGGTGAGACTGTAACAATGCGAACGACAAAGTTTTTTTTTTTTTTAATTCTCGGGTTATACTACTCACAACTACATCTTCTGCAGTTACAAGTCTTTCTTCACTCTTTCAAAGGACCACCAGAAACTAAAACAACCGAATTTTATATTTTGTTTACACTTGGGGCCGTTAACTCCCTTTTGATGACAATCTTTTTCCGAACGCCTGAAGAATAAGCATCAAAAAATATGAAAGCAAGCGGGCTTCTCGAGACTGAATGGCCGAACTCAAGGAAATGAAGAATCATTTTAATGTGATTTATCAGCCCAGATCCAAAACAAATCCGAATTGATGGGTATTTTAATGTTTTAGGAAAAACGTCTCCAGAGGAAAGTAGGGAACAGACATCTGAACGAAATCTCTTCCCGCATTCCCCTCCCCCACAACACTCGCCAGTGCCGGGGGTCAACGCGAACTGCGCTCGTAGTTTCCGAGCGGATGTGTAACTTTTCACAGTGCAATGTCCATTTTACACAGCCGTACTGACAACAAGCTTAAGCCAGAAATCGCTGTGAAGCCTTACAATAGCAGTCGGAAGCGCTTTAATCTGAGCGTGTCCGATCTTCTTTCGAAGAGATTTAATTAGTTGACAACGATGGTTTTCCTTCTTAAAAACAGAGCACACTACATAGATTGTCAGACATTATTTCATCAGAAACGTTTGCAGGGAAAACGCCCATAAGTTTTGAGTAGAGCAAATAAAGACAAGGGTTCATTCAACTGAAAGAAACAGAAAAAATCGATCTGGAAGGGAGGGGATAACTAAACATCGGCGAAGTATCAACTCCCCACATACTTCTTTATGGTTATGGGGCATAAATCCGTTACAATTGTTGAAACTGATTGTATTGGTACTCATCCTACATAAAGTTCCACCCTCTCGTTGTTTCGAAACTTCACCATTCTCACCTCCTCTGACGCTACAGTCATCCAAGTGCGCTCAGAAAAAGTAAGTACTCATGGAGGGATGGGAATGATGGAAATCGTTCAGAATTAGTATACCCTCAACTATAAACGCCGATTAGGCGATAATCGAGGTTGGATTCAGTACTGGTCACCATCCCTTCGGGTGTACTCTTGTTACCCACAAACACCGCGCCAACTTGAAGACGGTGTTCCCACGGAAGCGTAGGAGGCGTTATTGATTGTTCACACCGGCAACTAGTGAAAACTATGCCCATAAAGAAAAGGTAAAGAAAATAAACTCAGAATGAAGCCTTGGGACAACGCTTCGTTTACTGCACTTGAAGACTCTCCAAGGTCTGCACACGAGTTGAAAAATACTCGGGGGATCCAACTGAAATGTTTTCTCCCATGGGAATTTTACCTAGAAACTTCTACATTACCTAAAAACCAAACCGTTGGATATAACCTACTTTCAGCCCTAAACTGATTTGGCGTTCAGTGAACGTTTCCCCTAACTCAGCAGCTTTGAATAAGGCATCCCATTCACCTACAATTAAATCATCTTCTGCATTCCGAGGATGGCAGAAGGGATGCCAGCCAAAGCCTTCCTTAGTTTAACAGCTTCGTAGATAACAACTAGTATGTGTTATAATCGCCCCACAGAGATACCTAATTGTAAGAGCCTTCAAAATGATTTCATTCTTATAATCAAAGGCTAGACACTTCTTCCTCAGAATCACTAACTTCAGACGCATTATGATGACGCATTCAAATAAAAAAAGCACTGAATTGATCGTATACTCGAAAGGACCTTCAAAAGGGGGCACTTCAATGCTAGTTTGAACGACAGGGCATAAGGAGGGAAGCAAACGGCAGAGAAACCCTTGCTTATTGTGCGTATTCGGTTACTAATGGAAACTTCTCAAAAATCTACACTAGTGCTTCATTCAAGAGTCTCAGTCTAATACAGGCCGTTCCAAGAACAGAACCTACTCCTGCTAACAATTTACATCAGAATCCCAGAAATGAACGGGTTGCAGCACCTAGGTGGCATCAAAATCACGGNAACGGCAGAGAAACCCTTGCTTATTGTGCGTATTCGGTTACTAATGGAAACTTCTCAAAAATCTACACTAGTGCTTCATTCAAGAGTCTCAGACTAATACAGGCCGTTCCAAGAACAGAACCTACTTCTGCTAACAATTTACATCAGAATCCCAGAAATGAACGGGTTGCGGCACCTAGGTGGCATCAAAATCACGGTCAAAACTGCTCGAGAAAGAGATGCTTGAAAAAACAGAACAACATTAACCTATCTACAGCGAAAAATAACACCTTTCCAAGATAAAAAAAGCGAAAACAAAAACAAAAAATGAGAAAAAATCATATAAAAAAGGCACATTGAAAGCAAGCTCAGTGAACAAAATCAATGCAAAAGCCAGTGAACCTCTTCCATGGAATTAGCAGCTACTTTTTACCTAGCAATGTGCAGCATTGTGCAGTTTCGCATATGCACAATTCTGAGGATCCTCAGTAGAGCTTAAAAAACAGATACAGCTCCGAAGAGCAGTCGGTTACAATCTCTCTGATCGCTGTCAAACTTAGCCAAAATTACGAAGCATTGCCACACATATGCAGAACAAAGGTGCCAGCATTTCAGTGGAACTGGGGCAGCTGTACGGGGCCGAATAGCAGGAGTGAACAGCAGGCATGCCCGTTGAGGAGTACTGAGAAAGTAGCGAAGAAGTTTTCAAAAGGTAGAAATGATCACTTGGTCGCGAATTCGGGCTACACTTAGCCCACTAAGTACTTAAATGTATCCTTCAAGCAGCCGAGAATTAAAGTTCGCGACAACCTTCCATCTAGTCAATCTCAGGAGAATTGTACCTGCCACTTGGTTGATTACGAATGAATGCGTAATTGTATACCTCCGCTCACCTGAACACTCCGTGAACGCGTAATTGGTTCGTTTGGCGGTGTTTCATATTCGTCAATCGAATACTTGCTTCGAGTCCATAATGGCGACAAGAGCGACTGGTAACTTGAACTCATCGGTATCGTAATAGACGAGGCATCACTGAGTGTCGATGCAATACTGCTTCGGCGATCCGGTGGTGGGGACGAGATACGCTGCGGCTCGTTTTCGGTCGGAACTTGGAGGTAGTTCATATCGCAGGAGTCTTCAGAAATATTAGAATCTGATAATGGACCAGGACTCAGGTATGGCGGGCTGGGAGGATCAAGGGATATTCTTATGGACGCCAGTTGAGAAGCCAGGCGACGCATACGCGGATTCGGATACGACGACGACGTGCCGAGAGTATTCTTTGATGCCATTTTTTGATATGAAGAAGTTCCAGAGTCTAAAACAATACGACGCCGTCAGTAAATATGTACGCTTGATATGACACCAATGCGCGCCATGCCACACCCCCGGGGCTCCGCCCGACGAGATGGGAGGGGAGGTGCCACCGGCTGGCTGCTCATTTGGCTGATCATATCTTTTTTCTACTGCTATAAAGCTCTATTCACTTAGTTAATGGATTCGACGTTCGAATAACGGATGACACGAGGTGGCCATGCGGACTCTTTGCTAGGAAGGCTTAACTTGAATCCCCCTTCTCTGGAAACCCTAGAAACGCTTGTTCTTTTGTTTCGAGGGCGATCGATCAGTGGAACAGAATAAATTAAATATAAACGAAACACAATAAAAACGTCATCCAGCGAACTTCAGAGGATGAACCAGGCGTATCCTACAGCAACAGCGAACACAAAAAAAGCGACGTAGAAGGCCCAAACTTTTTTAGGTTGTTCGGAAAACTCTTCGTTGAGGCACTCACATTTGGTACACCCTGTCCAGCATAACGTGTGGGAGAATGTAATAGATTACATCCAAATGGAGGGGTACTAACTGCTGTAACGGTTCATCGAGCTCTCGTCCCAGTGCGTACTGGATCAGCCGTTGGCAGAGAAAGCGGATGCATCTACTCGAACTTCGCTCGTTTTCCGTTTCACTTCATAGCCCCACTATACCACATTTGACTTGGAATGGGCACCATATGCATTGCGTGAACTAAAATCTAGCTTTAGTACCTCTAAATGATCACCCGTTTGCTCCGATTACTCATAAAGTAAACCAGTAGCAACTACAGTATATGGCAGCTTTAACGATGTGCTCTGAAGCGGTTAGAGCATATCCATATACAGGATGATGCAGGACTGCTGACCTCGCATTTTTAAATCATGTAAAGTACGTTCTCCATGAATTCCAACATGAGGACGGAGGGGGTGTAGGGGCAAGTGGCGTACTATCACACACGTGATTCGGTAATCGAATCTCAGATCGAGCCCTACTCCTAGCCCAACTAGCCTTCCGTACCTAACTTGTTGATCGGCTGGCCACCGCAAAACATTGTATAGGCAACAGTGATATTCAGATGTCACTACGATTCCGAACGGAAGTCGAGAACGATTTTGCACTGCAAAACGGAAATAGGTCATGTCGGAGGCTCTATCCTTTAACATCGCTTTACTTTACTTTGCAAACTTCATGAGTTTGCTTGCAAATCCTTTCGCTTCATACTCATTTCCGCATAGCTTATATGCTTTGTGGCTCAGTTTAATTCAACGTGATGGTGAAGCCTCCTCTTCATCACCCATCATCCAAGTACACACCAGCGGAATGTCTAGCTTCAAGACGGCTCTGCCGCAACGACAGACCTTTCGAGGCACGATCATCCGGACCAACTCGTCGCCATGACTGAGGACCGTACCGAGAAGGTGACAGCCACTCTGATGGTTCCGTTAAGCTCGTCAAAGGCAGGCAACAGTTTGAGCTTTATCATCACCAAAAAGTGTTCCCGTATCGAACGAGAACACGACTGTACGTGAAAGGAAATTCCTGGATCTCGTTGCTTGAGCATGCATCAGAGGGCACCTGCATGCCGTCCTTCCGGCGAAAGTCACTCCACCGTGGAGGCACTCGCTAAACTTCTGGAGCATCAACGACAAAGGACGATCGTCTCGCCGGTCCCGCACCGAGCATGAATCTTGATTTGGATGGTGTTAGTGATGCCAGGAAAGCACCCTGTCCGTCGGTCCGGGCTTAAGAATCAACAACAAGTAACATTTGAATTCGATGTCTGAAAAGTAAAGACTCATGCGAGTCATGCGTTATGGCGATAAAACTGAACGTTCAAGGCACCTGGACATAAGGCGGAAATCGTGCATGACTACTGGCACCAACACCACCATTTTTCATCTCGAAGAGGGGACAAAATCGAGTTCAACTACTTGCGTTGGGTCGATTCTCACCTATGCACCGCCATTTGAAGGTTCAGATTGAAAACTGCTAAGCGTAATATAATCTGTACCATTTTAGCGTGATATTTCTTCTAACTTCATTTTAACCTTTCTTGCTCGAAAATTTAGTTTTACCTTGAAGCCAGTGCCGGCTGTTTGAATTGAACTACTTTGTATTCGTTGCATCCTCGGTTTTCTATTTGGATGGTATGCATTTCTGGAGGCATGGAAGTAACCAAAGTGTTACTACCAGCTACTTTCGCATTCTCTCCGGTACTTCCCACAGCATCTAGCCAATTCGAGAGATGGAAAAGTTCTTGTTGTTGGGAGGAAAGGTACCTAGTGCACGAAATTTCGATTTTTTCTATTTCTCCTTCTTCATTTAGATGATGTGAATATGGGCATGGGAACGATCATTAAACTCATCAATGAAAGGTTGTCAGGAAACTAGTTGGACTGCGAAAAGTTGAAAGATCCATAGGTTGGTGTTCAAGTTGTACCGTGTGTTGTAGTCAGTTGAAGAGATCACAGATCATCTTCGAACCTTTCATCTCGGGCTGTGAACAGTTGGAACGAATAGTTCGAATGAGGTGGGCACATGACTAGTTAGAAGAGGGAGACTTGACACAATTTTTGATTGGTGTCAGCAGTGCCGTGTCAAGCTTCGAACTCTGCACTATCACACACATGTGTCGGTCAAGAAGTAGTGTAGAATATGGACGGATAGCTCGGTTATGGTATGCTTAAATGAGCAATGAAGAATTAACCGAAAATGAGATCCCGTAGAATCTTCCCGATCTAAGCGTAGGTTTGCAGCGAAATGGGGAAGGGGGAGGATGCGGTCGTCGATCACGTAAGACAGCTGGGAATACAGCTGAACGATCCCTAACAATATCATCATCGTCGGATTTTGAGTCTAACGTGGATGGCGATCGCGTAAAACAGAAGCGAATAGTTTGTTGCTATTGCTCGGACAAAAACGAAGACCAGTCGCATAAGGAAGTAGGTAAGAATGCGTGGGCAGTGCCCTTACACAGGAAACCCATCGAAGCTTTCAGGAAATTCCGGGACAAATCTTACTAGCTAATTTCAAATTTTTGGCAGATACTTTCCACACAACCTGATATTTCACGGAGACGGGTCGTTTATCAAAAGTTTCACCTACATCAGCGGCATAGTAAAAGACATCTGGTACTAGTCGACTGATTTCCAAGCGGAATGATTCCCCTTTGCTCCAGTAAACCTCTCAAGCTTATTTCTTTTTCATCAGTATATCAGCTATCAAACTGATAGAACTTCTTTCACCTCCGCTGATGACGTGCTGCTAAAAATACATATATTCGGGAGAAAGACGAAATATGTTTTGACAGGGTCGAGCTTGCGTCAATTCAATTTGGCCCTTCTTTATATGTACTCAAAACTCCTGAAAATCAAAGAGGATGTTGAAGACGTGACAAGCACAAGGTGATTCAATCAAGTCAGAGCTCTCGCACGTATTTATGGATTAAAAGGGGCGCAAAAAAGAGACTCTACTGACATGTTTCTCCAATTCTGAGAAAGCTACCCAAGTGCAGGTTGGATATAGAGCTAAGTAGGTAAAAGGAGCGTTCCAAGTATCACATAATCACTTCCTGTCTCAGAAGGCTTAATCGTTATACTCCCCATGCCATCTCACATACACTTTCATCTCCCATGGCTTCCGGAAGGGATAGCTTCATAGCGGTGAATAAAGGGGATCTGTGAAGTATCCCAATCAGTCCATAACCAAAATCTCATCATCCTACAAGGAAGCCATATTCAACGTGAAGCGAGGAGTTCGACAGGGCAATACGTCTCTTCCCACCTCTTCGGTTTGCTTTCAAAAACATCGTGCGTCATTTCGAAGGGAAAGAAGGTCGACGGATGGCAGTTACATCACCTCCGCTTTGCAAACGACGATGCGCTTACAACACCGAGTATCGTATATGGAATATTAACGAATGCTGCTTGAATTCGAGAACGACTGTGTGAAGATCGAATTGCAACTGAATCTAACGAAGGCGGTTTTCATAAGAAACGGACTGCTTAATGTTCCCTTTGCACTCAACGATACGAACATCTCAGAATGCTTCAGCTGTGTTTACCTGGGTCGAGAAGTCAACATGACGAACGACCTAACTGGGAAGCTGAATGGAAGTTAACTGGGGGCTTGGGGATGATTTAGGAACACCGGAAAAGTATAGAGAAAACAAAAAGAGTTGGCTCCACGCTATCGCTTCAACTCTGCAGCCCTTTTTACCTTGGGTTACGCTTCAGAGACTGTGGGTAGGCAGGATAAGCATGCAGACAGCATCGCTCAACACGCTGTGGAAAAGACGATGCTCGAAATTTCTGACGTCGAGAAAGAAGCGTAGTGTCGAAATTCGTCAACGAATGAAGTTCGAAGAGCTGTCGCCCAGGTCGAAAAATGGAAGATCACACCAGGGCCGGGCACGCCATGTGGTTTTGTGATGTCCGCTGGAACAGGGTGAACAATATGTGGACTTCTAGCTACGTCAAACGAAGACCAGGACGATTGCCAGCCCAACCGTCAAATTTTTCTCAAGAATGTTCTGAACGGAAGGAATGGAGAGCTTTGGGTCACCCGAACCAGGCGCGTTCGATGGACTATAATGACTACCAGTAAGGGACGAATGAAGACTTTAATCGCGCCCGCTCGAGCAAATCGATAAACAACAGGACGACAAGCGATGCAAATGCTGAAGTATAGGCCACTAAAGATGAAGGATGTAAGCGCATTCACGAGGAACAGCCTCCATTCATTCTGGAATTATTCGAGAATGGGCCAGTCCTCCATTCAGTTTGGAATGATTCGAGAATGCGGAGACAGATGGTAAGAAGCAAAACTCAATTGCTTAGCCAAAGCCTTTTGCATGGAAGATTATAGAACTTATATATCCTCCTATCGCTCCCCTTCTCCTCTTACCTCAGAGACTTTGGCAGAATTTAGGACCGAGAGTACGCAGAGGAAAACGCAGTTTATAAGAAGTGAGCTT